ATGGTGCAAACACTACAACATTATATGGTGCAAACACTACAACATTATATGGTGCAAACACTACATTATATGGTACAAACACTACAACATTATATTGTGCAAACACTACAACATTATATGGTACAAACACTACAACATTATATGGTACAAACACTACAACATTATATGGTACAAACACTACAACATTATATTGTGCAAACACTACAACATTATATGGTACAAACACTACAACATTATATGGTACAAACACTACAACATTATATTGTGCAAACACTACAACATTATATGGTGCAAACACTACAACATTATATGGTACAAACACAACAACATTATATGGTACAAACACTACAACATTATATGGTACAAACACTACAACATTATATGGTGCAAACACAACAACTTTATATGGTACAAACACTACAACATTATATGGTGCAAACACTACAACATCATATGGTACAAACACTACAAAATTATATGGTACAAACACTGCAATATTACATTGTGCAAACACTAACATTAAATGGCGCAAACATTACAACATTATATAGTACAAACACTACAACATTATATGGTACAAACACTACAACATTATTTGGTGCAAACACTATATCGTATGAACACTGCAACATTACATTGTGCAAACACTAACATTAGATGGCGCAAACAATACAACATGATATGGTACAAACACTGTAACATTATATGGTGCAAACATTACAACATTATATGGTGCAAACACTACAACATCATATGGTGCAAACACTATATGGTACAAACACTGCAACATTATATTGTGCAAACACTAACATTAGATGGCGCAAACATTACAACATTATATGGTACAAACACTACAACATTATATGGTACAAACACTACAACATTATATGGTGCAAACACTATAACGTATGAACACTGCAACATTACATTGTGCAAACACTAACATTAGATGGCGCAAACAATTCAACATGATATGGTACAAACACTGTAACATTATATGGTGCAAACATTACAACATTATACGGTGCAAACACGACAGCATTATATAGTACAAACACTACAACATTATATAGTACAAACACTACAACATTATATAGTACAAACACTACAACATTGTATGTTACAAACACTACAACCTTATATGGTACAAACACTAACATTATATTGTGCAAACACTACAACCTTATATGGTACAAACACTACTTCATTATATGGTGCGAACACTACAACATTGTATGTTACAAACACTACAATCTTATATGGTACAAACACTAACATTATATTGTGCAAACACTACAACCTTATATGGTACAAACACTACAACATTATATGGTGCGAACACTACAACATTATATTGTGCAAACACTACTACATTATATAGTGCGAACACTACAACATTATATTGTACAAACACTACCATTATATTGTGCAAACACTACAACATTATATGTGCAAACACTAACATTATATTGTGCAGACACTAACATTATATGGTGCGAACACTACAACGTTATATGGTACAAACACTAACATTATATTGTGCAAACACTACAACATTATATGGCACAAACACTAACATTATATTGTGCAAACACTACAACATTATATGGCACAAACACTAACATTATATGGTGCGAACACAACATCATATGGTGCAAACACTACAAAATTATATAGTGCAAACACTACAACATCATATGGTACAAACACTACAAAATTATATGGTGCAAACGCTACATCATATGGTACAAACATTACAGCATTATATGGTACAAACACTACAAAAATTATGGGGCATATGCTACAACATCATATGGTACAAATACTACAAAATTATATGGTGCAAACGCTACAACATCATATGGTACAAACATTACAGCATTATATCATACAAACACTACAACATCATATGGTATAAATACTACAACATCATATGGTACAAATACTACAACATCATATGGTACAAACATTACAGCATTATATGGTACAAACAGCTACAAAATTATATGGTGCGAACGTTACAACATCATATGGTACAAATACTACAAAATTATATGGTGCGAACGCTACAACATCATATGGTACAAACACTACAAAATTATATGGTGCGAACGCTACAACATCATATGATACAAACACTACAAAATTATATGGTGCGAACGCTACAACATCATATGGTAGAAATACTACAAAATTATATGGTGCGAACGCTACAACATCATATGGTACAAATACTACAAAATTATATGGTGCGAACGCTACAACATCATATGGTACAAACACTACAAAATTATATGGTGCGAACGCTACAACATCATATGGTACAAATACTACGAAATTATATGGTGCGAACGCTACAACATCATATGGTACAAACACTACAAAATTATATAGTGCGAACGCTACAACATCATATGGTGCAAACACTACAACATTATATAGTGCGAACGCTACAACATCATATGGTACAAACACTACAACATTATATGGTGCGAACGCTACATTATATGGTACAAATACTACAAAATTATATGATGCAAACACTACAAAATTATATGGTGCGAACGCAACAACATCATATGGTACAAAAACTACAAAATTATATGGTGCAAACACTACAACATTATATGGTACAAAAACTACAAAATTATATGGTGCGAACAGTACAAAATTATATGGTGCAAACACAACATTTCTTTCTTTCTATGCCGTATGTGACGCATTAAATGCAGTCCACTAATGATTAATTCAGTACCAGTCGACGCATTAATGTGGGAACAAATTGTGTTGGTACAAAGTTAGTCTGCTGTACTACCAATGCATATATTAGTACGTGTCAGGTGCATAGAACGTGTTCAATGTATGCACAGTTTCCGCACCGCTAAACGGGCGGTTGTCTTGGTTGTTCAGATACTCGACTTCATACACCTACTTCATACTAGCGATCCTTCCGAATGACTAGACCGCGTGAGAAGGGACTTGTCTGGCTTTGTTCGCCAATTTTGCCCCATCGAACCAGTAAAAGTGAATAAATACCCTTATCAACCACGGTTTTCAGCGTTGTTTCCACTTCCGCTTACAGTAAGATCGCAGTAGACACTGGGACAAGTTTACATTGTAATGCGACCGTCTGCATAGAATAAAAGTCAGATAACATATTTGAAAACAAAAGATGTAGAAAGAAATGAAATCACTGTTGTAATATGCGTCCTGTTTCACTGTATACTGACGAGTTACGCAAGATACCCACAACGCAGTGGTCTCATTGGTTGATAACAATTAGAGTGTAAATGTCCTAGAGTCGCGGCCACGCTCATGTTCGTCATATGCAAATATGTGCAACAGAGCACCAAACAATCCCCATAGTGAGGATGTTGACTACTGATCGAAACGTTGAAAAAACATGTCCGTCGCCTTGCTCGTGTCGGTGTAAAATAAGCTCAATTTGATTTATTAAGTTCAAGTTCAGCAACAGAATGATATATGTGGGAACTAGATGTATGATCATATAAATAATAATGGGTCATATTATCTGCGACCATCCAGGATGACAATGACATTTTTTGTGAAATGTCGAAGACAATAAAACGCCAACAATTTCCTTTGTGAAGATTATTTTTTACGGCAGAATAGTTCGAGTTGTAATTTTATAATGTTATTTATAATGAAAAAAAAATGTTCTGCATTTAAATTAAAAACATTATTCTGAAGAACTTGACCATCTTTTAAATTCCTATTGCTGGGATAACATACAACGGGTCTGGACAAAAATACGTGCATTCATTTGATTTCACATACTATAATGTCACTAGATGTACAAGCCAGTATGTTGTCATTGGTACTTCTTCCAAATAAATGGGATTCCAAATTAACATGCTCCAAAGTGTGTCACGGAGCGCAACTCGTAACTGTCAACCCTCGTACAACCTATGAAAAGTCATATACTATTTAATTAACTTGTCTTGGAGCCAATACTAACTTTCATTGCAACAGAGTTCGAACACTTAACAATATTCACTACCTAGCACTGTGCCGATTATAGATAATATATAACTTTTCGTTACGGATGATGTCTATAAATATCTGTTTCCATCTGGGTTTAATTCTCGGCCGATGGTCTAGTAGCATTGTTCAGAATTTGTTACACACCCTTTGTGCTCCATGAAAGAAGACTGTTGTGGTACGGAGCCCGCGTGTTCATTGTCATACATTCGATTTTGCCGTCTTACTTCCAATGGTTTTTATTCACCATTTCTTCTGTTCCATTGAATCCACTAACACGCGACAGTCAAGACAAACATGGAAACAGACAGTTTTCATGCCATTAATTTGTTAATCACCATATTAACAGTGACATTGGTCGTGTATGCATTGTACTCGGCGGCTGTGTCAGAGACCGCCTCAAAATGTAATAAATTACTATAGGTTGTACACATTGTCAATACAGTGCATGTCACTCTGTGATACACACTATGATCTGACATTCTTTGCTGTCATCAAATCAAATTAAACTAATCTCGGTTGTCTGATACCTCATCATAAGAAGTCAGGCACACCAAACATATATTCAAATAATATTTATCTCGTTCACATATATATTTTGAGTTTCTAACTATGTACAGTATACAGTTTCGGACATTGCTGCTATAATTGCGTTAGAATTGTAAGTGCTATGTATTCTTTGCTGTCTGTTTTTAAGACCATAATATGTATCATTGTTGGCGACCATCCATTCCAAGCATGTACTACATTGGTATCAAATGCCGTCCCTAAAGTTTCTGGTCAGTTAAAGTCACTGTCAAAATCTAGCACACAGTAAACACACAGTGCAAGAATCTACATTCCGTGTTATGAGATACATGACAGGACTGCTGGGAAATCTCGCGATTTATATCTGAGAATAAACCAAGCACCTGCGGTCCTGACATGTATAATCGACGTTTCCCAAAAGTCGCATCCGTATGTATTAGGATTGGCCAGAGTTACAGTGATTTTGGCCTCACCATTTAGTGTGTGTCTCACTCACCCAGGGTTACAGTGATTTTGGCCTCACCATTTAGTGTGTGTCTCACTCACCCAGAGTTACAGTGATTTTGGCCTCACCATTTAGTGTGTGTCTCACTCACCCAGAGTTACAGTGATTTTGGCCTCACCATTTAGTGTGTGTCTCACTCACCCAGGGTTACAGTGATTTTGGCCTCACCATTTAGTGTGTGTCTCACTCACCCAGGGTTACAGTGATTTTGGCCTCACCATTTAGTGTGTGTCTCACTCACCCAGGGTTACAGTGATTTTGGCCTCACCATTTAGTGTGTGACTCACTCACCCAGGGTTACAGTGATTTTGGCCTCACCATTAAGTGTGTGTCTCACTCACCCAGAGTTACAGTGATTTTGGCCTCACCATTTAGTGTGTGTCTCACTCACCCAGGGTTACAGTGATTTTGGCCTCACCATTTAGTGTGTGTCTCACTCACCCAGGGTTACAGTGATTTTGGCCTCACCATTTAGTGTGTGACTCACTCACTCAGGATTGCAGTGATTTTTGCCTCACCATTTAGTGTGTGTCTCACTCACCCAGAGCTACAATGGTTTTAGCCTCACCATTTAGTATGTGACTCACTCACCCAGGGTTACAGTGATTTTTGCCTCACCATTTAGTGTGTGTCTCACTCACCCAGAGCTACAATGGTTTTAGCCTCACCATTTAGTGTGTGTCTCACTCACCCAGGGTTACAGTGATTTTTGCCTCACCATTTAGTATGTGACTCACTCACCCAGGGTTACAGTGATTTTTGCCTCACCATTTAGTTGTGACTCACTCACCCAGGGTTACAGTGATTTTTGGCCTCACCATATAGTGTGTGACTCACTCACCCAGGGATCAGGATTACAGTGATTTTTGCCTCACAATTTAGTGTGTGTCTCACTCACCCAGAGCTACAATGGTTTTAGCCTCACCATTTAGTGTGTGACTCACTCACCCAGGGTTACAGTTGTTTCGGCCTCACCATTTAGTGTGTGTCTCACTCACCCAGGGTTACAGTGATTTTGGCCTCACCATTTAGTGTGTGTCTCACTCACCCAGGGTTACAGTGATTTTGGCCTCACCATATAGTATGTGACTCACTCACCCAGGATTACAGTGATTTTTGCCTCACCATTTAGTGTGTGTCTCACTCACCCAGAGCTACAATGGTTTTAGCCTCACCATTTAGTATGTGACTCACTCACCCAGGGTTACAGTGATTTTTGCCTCACCATTTAGTGTGTGTCTCACTCACTCAGAGCTACA